TGGCTCAACAGGGGCTGAGCTGGATTTGCTCTTCCCCTGCTCCCCAAAGCAGCAGGAGGAAGAGCCAAGGCTCAGGATGCTGCCACTCCCAAGATCCTGCTGTTTCTGGTATCAGCACATGGACAGGCTGCAGAAACCATAGGCAGAGAGACCCACATCTGGGACAGAACAAACCAGGGAGAAACACTGAAAGAAAGAAGGTGGAGGTTGGTAACTGCAGATGAGGGACTAATGCTGGGCTAGGACATGAGAGCATGACCTGAGGAGGACTCAGGCATGTCATTCATTCACAAAAGCAGGGAGGAAGAGGGTGGAAGAGCCACCCTCATGTGGTGAAGTCCCTGAAGGTAACTGGGGACAGGGACAGAAGCTACAAGTGCAGGGCTTGGTACTGGAACATGTCATGCTCAAAGGAGCAGGAAGTGCAATGAGACCACTCTGTACAGGGACTGAAATGGAACCAGAGATTCCTCCATCAACAAAATAGACTGTATTCCTAAAAGGCTTCAATCTTCCTCAACCAGTTCACACATGAAAGCACTTGCATGTGTTTCTGTTTGTTCTATTTCAATTACAGGAAACACATATAAAATCTGTCAGGACACTGAAGTCCTGATTACTATGAAGCTGCAGTACTTTGATGCAGATGTATCAAAGAGTGGACCTTTGGAGAAAAAAAAAGCCTTATCAACAAAAAGCTACCACAGTGCCTTGCATAGAGGTCTGTGTAATACTGGCATGACACAGAACACAGACTGGTTTGTGTTGGAAGGGACCTTAAAGCTCCTCCAGTTCCAGTCCTTTGCCAATGGCAGGGACACCATCCACTAGAGCAGGTTGCTCCGAGCCCCATCCAACCTGACCTTGAACACTGCCAGGGATGGGGCATTTCTTCACTTCCATACAAATAACAATGGACTTTATAATGTTCTTTAATCTGTGCTTCATTCAATACCCAGATCTTACCAGGGTTCACTCCCATCCAGCTCTGGTGGCCATTAGCTCCACAGAGGAACACTCCTACACACCCACCTACAGCGCACCCACTGCTAGATGGAGCAACCAGCCAGGCAAAGGGGACAGGGCAATGAGGACCACATGCATGGCTTGTTTACACAGTTTTACTGGCTTAACACAATATGCAATCTGAAATCAGTTCAGCCAACAAAAGCAAAAGCCTAAACAAAGACTGGTTTTGTTTAAAGCAAGTCTTACTCTTGCCTATCTTAAACAGATTAGGAACAGGTTAAGTTTGCTGGACCACTCCACACTGCCTCTTGGTTTAAAAGTGAAAATACACATGTAGGCAAGCCCCAGGCAAGAGGGGTTTTGCCAGCATAGTTCAGTAAAGAAGGCCAGATGCTGAAGTACTTGCAACCACAAAAATGGGAGTCAGCTTCTAAAGTTTAGCTGCAAACAAGATGCGGACAACATAAGGAGGTGCAAAGAGAGTTATTAGTGTCCTGACAAAGAAAGAGATCTGATTCCCAGGCAATCACTGCCAGAAGAGAGGCCTTGTTAAGACATTGCTCATTTGTTCACTTTGCAAAATGAACTATAAATTATTCAGTGTAATAATTCCAGATACACTGTGCTTAGCTGAAAGGAGAGGTTCCCTTCTTTAAGGGATGCGTTATCTTTGCTTTTTATTAGGTCTGTTTGAATACCAATTTGCTTTTAAAGTCATAGCTCGACAAAAGTTGGGGGCTTTTTTCATGTCTGAAAGTCAGAATTCACAGCATGAACATATGAAGAAGTCTTTAAAGGGCTGGCGCCTTCCTGTATTTCCCTGCTAGAGTCTATAGTCTATACACCAGAGAGACAGCAAAACTCTCACCAAAACCAGGAATGCTTTAATAATAAATAAAAGCTTTCTTGTCATTGAAAAATATTTTCACCACAAAAAGTCATGTATTTTTAATTGTAATGTTGAGAACCTCTTCAACATGGGGGTGCTTGCCTCCAAGTCAGCCCTCAGCACAGAGGCACTGATCACACAGTGACCCCCCATCCGCCCAAGCACTGGGGAAACACCACCAAAGGAGCTTCATCTGACAGCAGTGCAGTCTCAGGACTGGGATTTGATCGGTCTTAGATGCAGCAGGTAGTAGAGCTCAGAACTCAGAGATGGTCTTTGCACAAAGAAACGTTTGAATTTGATTCAATCAGACAGGGAAGCATTATCCTACCTTCCCCTAACATGACATTTATGACTATGCTCAGCACAAGACTGGGTGAAACACATCTGGTTTCCATGTCCTTTCTAAAGGACTTTCCAAGCACAGAGACAAAAGAAGGTGATATACTGAAGTGGGAAGGACAGCTTCATCCAAGCTCCACAGGCACCACTGTTGGGGGTAGGAACAGCAGCGATGGGGATACACAGGCAAGAGCACAAACTGCACATCAGTTCACTGCTGGGCCACCGAGCCTGCCCAGAAATCCTCCTCCCAAACAACAGGAAAGGATGTAATGGGAAGGATGAGGCTGTATGGTATAAGACCTTAGTTATCCATCTCGGACAACCACCAAGCTTAGCACTGATAAGGTAAATCGTGGGAAGCGATTACTGTAAGTGGAAGCACAGTCCTTGTGTGAATTACACAGGGAAGAAAGATAGCTTAACAGCATCCATCAAGGATGCAGACTCCACTCTTAGTGATTGAAGCTGAGCTGGGTTCTCTGAATCACACACCAACTTTGTCACAAAACTTCATTCAGGTGGGCGCTTGTTTTTTGGTCTGGTTGATTTTAAAGCTTATTACCGATTTTCCACTATTGCATTAAAAAAAAAGCCCTGCAAACACTGTTACAGGCGATAGCTAAGCATCTGCAAGTTATAAAACATTTAAAGGCTTTACATTTAACCTATCTATTGGCAATAAAACATACCCCAGCACAAATGCACTATTTGAGACAGATGTTTGAAATATGAATGAATGTTTGAATATTCAGTTTTAAATACTCATGATAAAAGAAGCTGCAGAGACATGCCATTGATCTAATACTTGTTTGCACATTCCTTAGGGCTATGCATGAAACATAATGGGATTTCTATGTTCCTAAACAACAAAAGGTGTAAAAATGCCTTTTCAGTTGCAAACTTTGTTCATTTATTCCTGTGGCAAAAGAATGCAAATCTTAAGTCATTTTTTTGTGCACTGACATCAAGTCTTTCTCACACAAAAAGTTCCCTAAAGAAACAAGAAGAAAGTTCAGAATAAAGTCATGCTTCCTCCCCCACTTGTCCCTTAAAAATAAAAGGCAGAAAGAAAAGAGAAGGAAACTTCACTTAACTCAATTGTACCTGCCAGCTACAGGCAAAGGCTACTTAAGTGAGTGACTCCAAGCTCTTTGGCATGTGTGTCATCAATAAGAATGGCTTTGCAAGGTCCAGGCAAAATATTTGTTTTGGTACGGTTAAGCCTTCAGTACATGCAGTGCTTGAGTCCCTCGTCCGGTGACAGAACCTGTTCACAGAGAGAAAAGGGAAAACAATTCTACATTGAAGCATATGAGAGCTGGTAGCTTAAAGCAGGAGCATGCAAAAAGCAGCATTCCCTGTTAATCCCTCTTTTTCAAGCTTCTCTTTGTAAAGTGGAAGGGGAGCATTTTTCTTTCTTTACTAGGAAACTGCAGATATTCAAAATTAATACGAAAGCAGGAACTGAAAGAATGGGGTGGCAAGATGCATTTCCAAGGAGGGTAGGGAAAACAGTGTTAATGTCAGAATCAATCCTTGAGCTATGAATAACTTAACTTCAAAGCTGATGCTACCGTCTGACTGAGCGCCCTGTGTCTTCAAGGAAGATAAAGCCACATATGTAGTCAAGCCAATGTTTAATTCAGATTACACAGAACAATACAGAAACTTGACTGGAGCCAATTAAACTAAGCTGATAAAGATGCCATACCGCATCCTTTCTGTGCGCAGCAAAGGAGCAGTTTGAATGTGAACCTACATTTACTGACCTAAGACTTTTTTGTACTTAACATATGCATACCACAATTTCAATTATAACATATTGGTATACTCCTTTCAAAATAGGGAATGACCTTTACTTCTACCAGGGACAAACACCCATAACCCTGTAGGGACCATGTAGAACTACAAAGAATATTTTCCAGTGAAAAACGTGGTTTCTGTTGGAAATTACTAAAAGATGATGATGCTTGGAGAACACAAGCCTACCTCGGGTACCGTCCATATGTTCAAGTGCATTTCTCTTACCAATCTCAGTGCTGCAGTTCAAGAAATGGAGGCAAATCCAAGCCCTGCTCTTGCCCACAGCCAGATGTTTGGTAATCACACAGCTGCCAGCTGATCTGTGGTGCTACATGGGAGACAGCCTGGCCCAGGGCCCCACCATTCACAAAGAACAAGGACAGTCATCTCCCAACAAACTGTCCCTTGGGCATAATGTACCACAGAAAGCAGCATTTAATGGTTGAGCTGCCCAGAAACAAAACATTTTAGGTTGAATTAGGAGAGTGTAATGAAACATTTCAGCCTTCAAAATGACTTACTGTGGCTCCAGAGGGTCATGGATTTTCAGAAGAACAGTTACTGGCACTGCTGGCAGTGAACGCCAAAGTAACCAAATCCAAGCATTGACACTTAAACCTTTGGGATCTGATTTTATAATAGCCAGAAACTTTATAGGTAACTCATGGGTGTCTATAAAAGACTAGAAGTTAGCACAGCTGTGCATCAGACTTCACCACTGGGCAGACAGAAGTGGAGGCAGAGAACAAGTGAGCTGCTTTCCATGGAATTCTGTGCTTTTCCAGCTAACTGTGTAGCTGTAAAACTGAAGAGTCCAGGCTGGTTTATACAAGAACCAGCCAATATCATAGTCAACATACTTCAGAGCGCAATGATGTACTTTCTTTGGCATTTTTTTCTCCTCCCTCCACCCTCATCTCCCCTTTATTAACATCTACCACCCACACCATTGACATCATTTCCAGGGACAAGGTCTGTGCTGGCCACTACTCACCACTCCGCAAACACAGCACCCGAGCATGCAGATGCCTCAGTCCCCTGTCGTTGGCATACACAAGCTAGAAGAGAGATTAACAAAGAGGAGAGTGGGGTTTCTCAAGAGCTCTTCATAATGGACAGTGTCTGACTCTATACAGAGGGATAAAAGGAGAGTGATAAACTCTGTTGTCAAGAAAGAGTGCTTAAAAAGCCTTTCAAATAAGCAATTTCCCCTCTCATCAGTATCCTCTTGACTGCTAAGCTCTCTCCTTTGTCTCTTACCTTGAATAGTGATCAGCAATGCATGATTGGCCAAGGGGCATCAGCTGTAAGTCTAACAACAGCAGCTGAAACCACTGCAGAGGAAAGACAGCTCCCCTAAAGGCACATCTACCTCTTGGAGGAGAAAGGAGAAAATGCAAAGCATGACAGCTTCATTTGCCTTGCCTGCTTTGGCAAAGGGTATAGGATTTGCCATCCCCCATATTAGGTTTGCTTAGCATCCCATCCCGAAACTAATCAGGATTGAATGTGCAGGCGCCAGGAGCCCCCCTGCCAAGCAAGCTCCCACCCTACCATCCTGAATGCCATTTCTGCTTCTTATATCCCCAGGGATAAGGGTCAGAAGCCCTCCCACTCCCTGCACCATCCTCAAACAGCTGCACTGCAGCCAAGAAGTCTCTTCCTTGCAAAGTGTGTTGTACTTGCCTGTGGCAGGGGTTTAGAATGAGATCATTAAGATCCCTTCCAACCCAAACCATTCTGTGATTCTATGTACCTTCTGGTCGCACCCATCTGATGCTTCAACTAACCAGCACACACCGAGTTGAAGCATCAGCAAAGATCAGCTTCATGCAGAGTCAGAAGTGCCACTGTCAAAAGAGGGCAATTTTGTTCTTTATTGTTAACAGTGCTGTTTAACCCGGTTGCATGGTCAGCCATGCAGAGATTCATCACTAATCCAAGCAAGAAACAAGAGTCAAGGCTGAGTTTGTAAGACATCATAAATCTGCAGTAGTCTGGTGCATAAGCAAGATACAGCTTCCAAAGGTTGTTTTCCCAATTTAAACTGATGGTTAACAGCAATTACTTATCATTCATGCTCTCACAAAGCCCATAGTGCCATGGGCTACAGCAGAGCACCACTGTGCTGAACAACACATCAGAGGAGGCTCTTCCCACTAACATGGTGGGTTACAAACAAGTTGTTCCTTCCATCAGGTGGAATAAGTATAATCACGATCCTGAACCTTCCCAGCTCACACTGATTTGCAGTGCTCAGGTAAGAAAAAGTATTAATCTTACCCTTTAAAGTCAATGCACAAGTAGACAGCACTGACCCCAAGGGCCAGCGGTTCAGGACATAGATACTTCACTCTTCTCTAACAAACATTCATTTTCAAAGACACTTTTCCAGGCAAGGGGAACTACAAGAACACTAATTTTTGTTTGGAAAACAGGAAAGGAGCACACAGAGTTTAAGTAAAACAAAACAAATTCATGCAGCCTGTTAATTTTAATGTGTGGTCATCTTCCTAAAAAATAATGTTATCAGGACAACTCTCTGAGCAACAAAGACATCACACACTACACACATCAGTTAGATTAAAGGCATCACAAGGGACTCTTCACTTTTTGAGCACATGCTATTCCCATTAACATTAAAGGCAGATATTCGCATGTACAGGGTGGACAGCACATCTCTTGAGAGTCTCTGCATTAGTTGTACCTTGCCTGGGGAAACAATGGAAATGCAACAAAGGAAGACCCTAGATCAAGGAGGATTCAGCCACTGAACTGACTCTCAGCATTCCTCATCACTCATTGCTCCCTCAACTCCTCATGAAGCATGGCTGTGGCACTACTCATCACGCTCCTGAGCAGGGTATCCCTGTCTCCAACTTGCCCTGGAGCTGACCTTGCTCCGGGTTAAACCAGATAAACCCACATTCCCTCTACCTTTGGAGTGAGCAAAACTCCCTTACTGGGGATCCTGTTTCTCTAATTCCAATTAGTGGATCAGATCCAGACTTCCAGATTGTGGTTTTTACTGTGGCCCTTTCCAAACTTTGCATCCACCAGCAAATACAGCAGTGAAGGTAGGTGTTTGTGCCAGCAATTTCTGCTAGGGTTTTGTCAATCAGCATCATCAATCCTCTGCGGTGTTAGTGCCTTCAGAACTGACATATGCCAAGGAGAGCAGGAGTGCTAATGCTTTTCCACCCAAGTGTGGCAGCCACATCACACTGGGACAGCATTAGCAGGATCTTAATCCTTCCTTTTCCTCCTCTTCAGCCCTATCACAGCTGTAGAGTAGTGAACATTCCAAGGAGGGAAATGCATTTCCATGTGCTATACAAGCCTCCTTCCTGCTTATAATTCAGCAGGAGCTCCAAAAGGAAAAAGAGGGAAATGTCACTGTTGGAGCAGAGGAGTGGGTACCCAGGGATTTGAGCTCTACACCTAGTTTTCCTCTTGGAAAGAAAACCTTTTCCATTGGTCTCTTAAACTCCAAAACAGTGACTACACTACTCAGTCCCTTTGAGGAGTGCTGAGAAGGTAACCAGTCTTTGTAAAGGGCATTTAAAATGCAGAAGTGCTTGTTAATCCTTGTATGTCTACAATAGGCATTTTTCCCTATCCTTTACAATGCCTCTCCAGCCCCTTGTTCTGATTTCATACCCACAGCTCCAGCTCCCAGCACTGGGGGTGATGGAGGGCACTTTCTCCCCAGCAAGCAAGTCCAATGGTAAACATCAGAGGGCTTAACCAAATCGGCAGAATTCCAATGGGAAATGAGACCCTGCAGAGTTACCATGCTTTAAATAGTACCAAAAGTTACAGCCTGAACCTCACAAGCCACTATAATAATTATCATGTTATTCACTTTGATTAGGAGGCTTTGTGCTCGGTAGACAGGAACAAGCATTGCTTCCACGGCTGCATCTCCCTGCCCAAACTGTGTTCCCCCCTCCATGCCTCCTGCAATGTGCAGCACTGCTTCATGTCCTAAGAAGTCCTTCACTTACATAAACTGCTAATCACTTTCCTGGCCAACAAGGGTTGATAAATTGCATTCCCTTTATTTGTACCATCCCATAGTCATTATGAGACTTGGTAAAGAACTTTCTCCAGAGTAAAGTTAAGCCACATCTAACCTGCTTCAAAGTGCTGATTCAGCTTGCTCGTAGTTGATCATGCAGAGGAAAACATGGCTGTGTAACCTGAGACGTTACAGGAAGGCACTCCGAAGAGGAGGAGAAGCAACATTTAAGCAATCCACCTAGCTTCTCTTTCATTAGTTATCACAAAAACAGAGGTTATCCTTAAATAAATACATTCTCTCCAAAAAAAAGCCGCTTCCAAGATCACAATGCCATATTAAATTCTTTCCCAAGCTCTATAAACTGAGACTTATAAAACCTGTAAAATCCTTACTAGACTCTTGACAGCTCCACATGTGTCTGTGGCAAGAAGAATGGAACCTTTTGCTAAACATCTGCTAAATCTCGCATCTTGGCTAGAACGACTCTACCCGATAGCAGCACGCTGTCTCATGCTTGCTGACTGTGGTCTGGGGCTGTGATGGAATCTGGCTTTCTGCATGAAAACACCATGCTGCTTTATCACAGCCTGTATTTACAGCAGCCTTTTCCAGTAATATTCCATAACTGCACATCTCTTAGGGCAGTTGTGCCTAAGCAGTGGCACATGGCTTGTCATGGGCTGAAATCACGGCTGCCAGCTGTGTTTTCCAAGAGGATACATGCATGGCATGTCCATTTGTACACACTGCTCCTGAGGTTAAGAGTCCTGTAGCACTGCTTGGCAGCAGTCAGGGTACAGATCCAGAAGATAGCTTAAGAACACTCAGAAGTTAGACTAAGTAAACTTCTCTATTCGTGCAATACATCCTAGACATTACTCTATGGTCTATGTTTAACAATATTCTCTCATTCTACAGAATGGAGACTTCTGATTTTCCAGGGCAGACCAACATACATATGTTAAGCAGTTCTATCCATATATACACAAGTAATCTGAAAAACTAGGATGTCTCACCTTGCAGGAGGCTCTCACATTTGCTTTTGAAGCATTTTGTAATGGATAGTTCTTAAGAAGCAATCTGGACAGTGCTAGAAACAAGGCACCCATCTATTGGCAGCTTAGACGTAGTTTAGAACAACAATTAAACATTTCCTATTTGATCCTATATGAAAGATCTTTAAGAATAATCCTTCCTTGACACAATTGGCAGTTTTCTTATTTGAGGTCATCCTATGACTCTTGATAAACCTCTGATTCAAAAGAAGCCAAGTGTCTTGTGCTACTACTGGTTGGAATAAGTTGCTAAATCAGTTCAAAACCTGGGGTTTACAAGAGCTTCACTTGCTTATGCTCAGAGCAGCTTTTCAGCTTCAAGGAGAAGTAATGATTTTGCATTGTCCTGCAGAGATGCAGAACGAAATCATTGATGTTTTCGGAGTCTGCTGAGTTTAGTTTCAAAGCACAGGTCTGTATAGCACAAGGAATAGATCTGATGAAAGAGAGCTTTAGATGTGCTGGTCCATGATTTGGGTGTGGAAAGACACTGTATGTCTACAGATCAGCTGAATTTCCCAGTCAGTAATGATATGACCCCTCTAGCTCAGTTCTTCTTCCTACTTTGAGATACAAACCCAAGTATTTATTGTTAAGTCAGCTATGCCACATAACATAACAGCCTGAACAGCTTTTTGCCATTTAAGACTCTTTGCTCTTGACAATCTACCCAATGCCATTTATAATAAATGGGCATTTCTTCCTTTGCACCTTACACAGCCATATTAATCTGCAGATATTAACCTCATGGGTTTGACTTTTTCCAATCATATCTTTCCCCCTGTTATAAAGCCTTTTATTTTCTGAGGTTATCTCTAACACTGGAAGAAAAGTAATACCTAATGCAAGTAGTTTACCTTAGAGTACAGCAATGCTCAAGATACCCTTTCTGACTTGCTCTTCAGCATGTGGTGCATCATAAGGCATGAAATCCAGAATCATTCCTCTCTATATATCTCAAATGATTTCTGTTACTGAGGTGTATTTGTTGTAACTCTTCTTGACAACCTACTCAAGGAGACCTTTGGGAAGGATGTGGACTCTACCACCATGTTTATCCCACACACCTCCCTCCTCTCAGCTGGCAAGATGAGGACACAAAAAGCATGTCTGCATTCTCACAAGACAAAGAAGAGAGCTCTCACATCTGTAAAAGAAAATGCTATGGCAATCTGGGAACTCCAGTGTGCTGGAAGATGAAAGATAAATCGTGTTATATGAATGGTGCACATGTTGTTGTTATTATCTCCAAGAGGAGGACCCCATTGTGCTCAATACTACACAGGCTCAAAATAACAGGCAGTTCCTGCCCCAGAGGCCTCATAGCCTAAGATAAAAGCAGCATTGTGATCCCCTTTTTATAAAAGGGAAGTGGGACACCAGAAGATTCAGCAACTCAAACAAGCTCCTCAATGAAATGGGAACTGAACACAGACTGGATTCTCCAATCCCATGATTTGATCCCACATCATTGCTCAAAATCGCTTTTAGTTAAGCAGCGACATCTAAACTTTAAGTTGGTATCCAGGTTTATTTCTACTTATTTAATGACAAAGCAAAACACTTGACCTATTGGTCATTCCTGCCATTATTTTAGATTCCTGTAAGATTCATATTTAAGTATATGTCCAAGAGATGCCACGAAGCCACAAAGAAATCCTTTAATTCACTTCACAGTCAATTTATATGGCACACTGAGTCCTCTCAGGAGTGGAA